TGTGTATATGTATATATATATATATATATATATATATATATAAATAAATGTTTTGCACTATATTGTGAGAATCATCTGGATATGCATAGCCAGATGTTTTCATAGTCCATCCTCACGTGGCATAGCGAACATGCATGTTGAGGTGTACAGCTGGAGAAAGTCTGCCCCCCTTTGGTCAAGTGAGTCAATGTGACTCAGATATTCAGTTTTATGAAAAGTACTGCTCTGTGGCTTTCTGTAATATGATTAAAATTAGAAATTCAAGATTAAATTTAGCAGGACTAATAGCTTCTGGCAAACCTAATGTGTACAGTCTGTGGTAAAATGTCATGAGGTTTAGAACTCAGTAGGTCAGCTTGGACACTATCTGAGCTAAGAAACAAAAAAAGATGATGATAAATACTTAACAACCCCGAAACTGTTACTTTGGTGGTTATTTTTTGTCCTGAAATTGTGAAACAAGAGAAATGGATTACAGAACCCCCTGATGTTGAGCTCAATGAGGCGGAATAAAGGTTTCCTGCCCAGAGTGCAAACACACAGATGGAGAGAACACAAAGTCCACATGTGCATAAAGATATACAGAGAAACAGCAATACAGAGAGAACGAGTGAACATGTACAGGAGAACATGTGTGAGATAAAACAGGCAAACATCAGACCATATCATACTACTAAAATAAAATCAACACACATGAACTAGGGCTGTGTTAAATGATTTAATATTTTAATCAAAGTAATTGATATACCAATTAATTAAATTATTCCTGAGTGTTTCATTTTGAGACTGTGTCAAAAGTAGTTTAATTTGATTAAATTAGTTAATTTATTAATGCTACGCAATTGATTGTTCTAAAGCATTATGTAAAATTGACAGCCTTACAATTAGAACATTTAAAATACAATTAATTTACATAAAACAATTAAAATACATAAACACTCAAAGAGACAAAGACTGACCGGTCTCATATAGTGCCTTTAATGCTGCTATGTCTGAAAGGTCCTCTGCTCGAGCTCTGCAAAGCCAGCGGTTATAGCTGTAAAGAAAGACACCAAATCTAAACGATTTGCAGTGATGTAAAAACAATTTGGTATGAACCAGAATTCTTGAAAAAATATACGAACATATATACAAATAACATGCATACAATCTCTGAGTACACAGTTCTACGGTATACTAAACAAATCTGTACTCAATAATAATGAATATGAATGAGATCATATATCTAAACATGACTAAAAGCTGTTAGGATGCTATTGGTTACGCTGCGTTTCCAGTGTTTCCATGATAACCAAGGTTTCACCACAGGTAGTACTGTAAAATTGTGGTGTAAAATAAAAAAAACTAAAAAATTACACATAACAACAGGAAGGCCCTAAAGGCTTCTTACAAGGGGTGGGCAGCATAACCAATCTTATATTTGAGCAATTTTATGTCACAGCAACTTATGACAATACAAATGAAATGGTACCTCATATCTACACATACATACATACATACATATATATATATATATGACCAATGCAAAACAAAGGATACAAGTCTTCATAGCAAACAAATGATAAATCTGGTATGAGTACAAAAACAGTTGCTTCACATCAACATCACCCAATCCTATTTTGGCAGAAACTATCATGGTACATTTTTGTAAGTGTCTTGGTTAAGAAACTTGGTAGTTGTAAAAGGTGAGAGTATAATAAGAAAACTAGACATCTTACTTCCTTTGGTGCTGTTTCTGCTGGGCTGCTTCAGACATTTGGCCCTGAAGGATGAGTTTACGTTGCTTATCCACATCCCCTTCCATACGAGCAAACGCATGACTTCCTACCAGCCCCAGGTCGGACTCTAGTGAGTCATCC